CCAGTGGCCTGGGCCAGCCCCGCTGAAGGGGCAGCAAGCGCGCCTGGCCTGCCCTGGCCTGGCCCTGCTCGCCTGGGGCTGTCCCTGAGGGATGCGGGGTGGGGGTGCGGCAAGGCCACCCGTTGCTCTCCTTTCAGGCAGAGAAGGGTTTCCCTCGGTGTAGGACCGCCCTCGTGTGCTGCAGCACAGCTCGCAGGTGCACCTTCCCGAATCTCGGCTTTAGCACCTCTTGTTCACCTGGGGATCGCATGCGTGAGGCTGGCAGCCTCTGCCGCAAGAGCTTCAGTTACTCGGGTAATGTGAGCAAGTCACGAATAGCGTCTTGCTCGTAGTATTGTCCAATGTTCAAATTAGTGCTTACACAAACACTGTTTTGGTTGTCTGGAACCCACTAAGTCAACTTTCTCAAGTACTGAGTGTCGTCAGTCTTTGTAAGTGCTACTTTATTAAGTGGGGAATAAGCCAGCTCCGGGTGGGCAGCGAGTATAAGACATTGGGGCCCTTACTTAAGCTGCAAATGCTCCTACAAAAACACATTGCTAAAAATATCTAGCGGTGTTGTGCAACGGGTGGAAAGGTAACTGAAAGGGAGAGTACAATCATGCTGTAATTTTCTCATCTTACGAAGGTCCTAGACTGCCTGTTTGTAGTAATGCCTGTAACTGGGGGATTCTCAGTCAGGTTTATTATTAAAACCAAACTTAGCCATGGATCTATGCCAAATAGGTGTTTTGTAGTCAGAGAAATTGCGTTATGTGTTTTTAAGTGTCAAATTCTGGCCTAATGATTGTATGAACTAATGATGATGTTAGCCCTTTCTCTCTTTAGTACCCTAAGTTTCTTCTTGTTGTAGGTGTGTTCCCTGATTATTTTTTTTCCCCCTTGTAGTAGGCATGAATGTCAGGGATGATATCTAGTAACACGGTTGCGATTAGGACATTGGTATGTTAAAACGAGAGTTACAGATACTTAAAGCTCACCAATGTGTTGCTGCTACAGTTTTCTTGCCGTATCTCTTTGCAGTCTTTCCTGGCAAAGTAAGCTGAAAGGTATTTTATGAAAATGATCATGCTTTGGAGGAAAGATAAGACAATTGGCTTTAGCCTTCTGTTTCAGTATTTAACAGTGTAATAACATTACTGTTTCAGAAAGACACTTTTAAAAAGGACAGTTTTAGTTTACATGAACTTCATGTACAGTGTTATATACAAAAGCTGCGGTTTCTGTAACGGACTGTACCAGTTCATGGCCTGGTTAAAAATACATTCTAGCCACCATGCTCTTTTGCAAGCATGTACAGTCATGTAGCAGTTTGGGGTTTGCTGATTAAGTATAACTGTGCCAGTTTTTCTGCTAATTCCAACTATATTTTAGATATGGCTAAACATGCTACAGAGTGGTGTTGTATTTGCAGGCCGACCAGGGACATAAATTCAATATATTGCAGTCTAGACCAACTTATACAAGATTCAAGAAATAAAACCTGCCTCTTCTAGCACTAAACTAGCCTTAAATATCAAAGCATCCTTCTTCCCTCTTTACATCCATGTCCTTCTCAAATACTTCATCCTCTGGGCCAGGAAATTCATTTTGAAAAATGCAGAAGATACCAGTACAGGATGGAGGAGAGTAGTATTATGTAAATCTTTTTTGCATATGTGTTCAAAGAGGAAGGAAAAAACCCCAGGAACAATACTGTTACAACAACCAGAGGAGTCAGTTGGGCTAATAGCGAGGCAGAATCCTATGAAAGTATCAGATGATGTAGAAGCAAGGATTTTACTTTAAAACAGACAAAATGTTGCCTCTGCCATCGCCCCTCCCAAAAAAAACCCCAGCCCTAAACCCATGTAATTAATAATTGCCTCATGAGTTGACTATAAAATGTCACTAACACCCTCTACTCACTATAAACATCTTCCAGGAGCAGCATGACCCTCACTACTACTTTGAGTGTGGGAACTAGAAAGTGAACTATTGCGTTTCTATTTGGCTTCGACAGTGGGGGGCAGAAGCAGATGTTAAGTTGCTACAGGTCAGCCCTAGGACTGTGTCTGATCTACCATGAGCTCCTGAGGTTATCAGAAATGTTGCAGTTCTGATCCTCTTGTTCCCCTGTCCTGCCTGTGCCAGGCCTGGAGGGAGGATGGGTGAGAAATGCCCTTGAGCTAACTTCTACATATTTTCCCTGGGGAAATGCCTCCACAGCTGGGAAGCTTGCTCCTGCTGTCTTACCCAGACTCAGCTGGCAAGAGCAAAGGTGATGGTTTAATTTCAGTGCTTTTCAGTGGCAACACAGTCAAGCATATGTTTCTAATGCTTTTTCTCATTGTTGTAGCACCTGACACCCCCTGTTCCCTTCCCTTCTTACACAACTGTAGAGCAAACGCTGTCTTTCCAGGAAGGTCTGGGTGTTTCAGTGGAACTTAGCTGTGTTCTCTCAGCTGGGTCACTCTATCGTGGCACATAGAGCATGCCATGGTCTCTGCTAGCTGCTGTCAAAGAATAATCTTAGAAGCTTTGATTGGTGCCAGTAAACAAATGCAATTGAGGGGAAATTTCAACTTTGTATTTTGTCATAGAAGCAAATAAAGACCTGGAATAAGGACTAGTGTATCAGAAAAGTGGTTGTTTCATGGAAGAATTAAAAATTACAAAATGTAATAACACTAGAACTGAGATTAGAATAAACTACTGTGAATTATACAAATGTTAAAGGAATTTAACTGCAGGGTGTATCAGGAGTAGACATCTGTTTCTGAATTCTTATTTTTAAATGGCAGCCTGATTTTTCTGTGCCAGCAGTCAGAAATTCTGGATCCAGAAACTCATTTCACATTAGCAGGAAGCAGTGTGAGAATTAGTTTAAGAGTACCTTACTTGTCCTTCCAGTACACAGACTTCCCCAGTTTCCCATTTGTGTTTATAAAAAGCAGCAACCAAGTCACCTGCAGACAGCTATTTGAATTTCTGTGGTGGAAGCCCTAGGGATGATACTCCTTGCAGTCTCCTAATGCAATATGCGGTGATTAGTGCCCTTAACAGTGTGGGGTTAAAGATATTTCCAGCTAGGGGTGGCTGCTGAATGCCTGGCGTACATCTCTTGTGTGGGGGAAGGCTTGCCTGTTCATCAGATGACAAGCAGCAGGTCCTTTCCACCAAAGCTTGTCAGCACTCACGAATGCAAAGCAGCTAAGTCTGGTTTACGTTTTATCCCACCAGTTTCTTCAGCAGCATAAAAATGCTGACACAATGGTGGCTTTGATGAAGGTTTATGAAGAAGAAGATGAAGCTTATCAGGATTTGGTCACCATGGCAACACAATTCTACCAGTATTTACTGCAGCCCTTCAGAGATATGCGAGAGCTGGCGACACTGTACAAACTGGAAATCCTGGTAGGTAGTGAAAGGCCAAGTTATGTAGTGGGACATCAGCTGCTCTTGGAGCAGCTTGGACTCAAATCACTTAACATTCCATATTCTGTCTGTGTCTGCTTCTTTTTCCCCTTGCCAAGCCACCAAATATGACAGAGAAATTCAGAATTAGGGCAGAACCACCCTCAGAGGATCTCCAGGTCCATGGTATTGGCTTGACTAGAACTGCAGCTGTCTTCCCACCAGTGTCCCACTTCCCTCTGTTTTGAGAAATTAAAAGGAAGCCATCCCCAAAGTCCACCTCTGTGGGGTTTATTGTGGTAGGCTGAGTTCACAGAGATCTATGTAGCCTTCATTGTGCCACCTTCAGTGGGATTAGTTTGTGACAGTGAGAATGCCATCCGCCAGCAATGCTGATGCACCAGTTGACTCAGTTGTGGTAGAACACCTTACCACAAAAAGCAGTTTTCTGTTGCTGATACAACCTGCTAGAAGTACGGATTAAAACATTTTGGTGGACACTGTGTTCATTTAATGTTACATGCATCTTAAACTGGGAGCGCATGCTGAAAGTTATGATGCCCCTGGAAAAGAGAGACATCTGCTATTTTGATTCTTCCTTAGATAATCTATTAAAATTAAAATAAGCTGTTAATGTTCTTGAGAAGAGCAGAACAGTTTTAAGTTTAGACTAAGGTTCTTGGATACCAAAGGTCTGAATCTGTGAAGATAAAATATCCAGTATGCTGTACTGAAAATGGGAATGAAAATTGGAATGAATGAAACAGAAAGTTTTTTTTTTCTGTATTAAAAAACCTCTTAAGGGGTATTTAGGCTCATTTGAAATCTGTTTCTTTTAAAAGAAGTTGAATACTAGTCTTGTACCCATGTACACTTTGTGGACTTGAAAATACTCTCTTGTGTTTCTTTTCTGTATCCCTGTTCCTGTGTGAAAGAACTGCCAAACTGGAGAACCTGACAGTGCAATGTGCTGTCAACACGTGGGGAAAAATAGAACATTGCAAGTAGAAGAGTGGTTTTGAGTTGCTTTTAGTAACAACTAAAAACATTTGTGTTGGATGTGATTTTTAAGATGATAGTTTAAGAATATTGTAAGAAATAAATTAATCCAAAGTTAAGCGTGAAGTCGTGATTGGGGACCAAAGGTTCTGAGTTAGCCTGGAGAATGAGGAAGGTGGCAATACATAGGCCTGAGTACTGATTCACTTTGTGACAGGTGAGGGGAAGGTCATGTTTGCCACCATGCTCTGCCTTGCTTGAAATGTCTCTAAGTATAGCAATAATGCAGGCTGCACCACTGTGATAACCAGTTGGTAACTGAGAATTTTGTCTCCTTGCAGAAGTCTTTGCAGTATGATAATTTGGGGCCTAAAAGAGTAGCAGCTTTGCAGAAAGATGCTGAAGAATGGACTAAGCGAGCTGAGAATGCTGTATGCTCCATTCAGGATATCACTGTGAACTACTTCAAGGAAACTGTGAAGGCTCTGGCAGGTAATCAGAATGATTTACACAAGAGGTTGCATAAATACTTGACTTGGGGAACTGAGAGCTCTTCTTATCACTTTGGCTGGTCTCCCTCTGCAGACCCTGAGGTTAGGATGAGTTTCCAGCTTAAAAAAGAAGCATTCTATTCACTTAAGGTTTGTGTCTTTTAACTGATTTGGTTTAGAACTTGCAATTGGCTTGCACACAAACATTGCCAAGGCCTGAAGACTTACGGCTGCAAAACTGAACAAAACCCATGCGCGCTTTTAACGCTTGATGTGCAAGCCTCAAGGATTTCAGCGTGTTAACTGAGTAGGTTGCTGTGTAACTGTTAAGGCATGTTTCCATGGTACAATGAAGTGTTTTACTTAAATATATAAAAAATAATAAATTCAGCCTTTTAGTCTTGTAATTTCTAAGGAAGCTTCAGAAATTGTTTAATAGCATCAGCATTTTTAGTACTGCAGCTGTAGTACAAACACACAAGAGCTATAAGTACACTGCATTCCTCATATTTTACTGCAATGTTTTAATCTGCAGCAATGCACAAACAGATGGAACAAGATCAGGAAAGATTTGGTAAAACCACCTGGGCATCAGCTTTGCCACGACTAGAAAACCTGAAATATATGTTAGCTAAGGAAACCCTTCAGCATCTGAGGGCAAGAGAGTTGTGCCTGAAACAGAAGAGAGCTGGCATTCAGAAAAATGTAAGAACTTGCAAAACCTCCTTTTCTGTCACCGTTTTGTGAACCTACCAAAGTGGTCGTGGGAGTAAACTTTCAAAGTCTTTGTCTGTGAAACAGCTTAGGTTTTCAACGTGGTTTTAAGTAAGTTGTGGAAAAATGCATGTCTCCGGTCTTTTAAAATTGCTCATGCACGTATGAGGACACTTAGCAAAGGTTAAGATACATGCTTTCACAGTTCATGTGCCTAGTTAGCATTTGTGTTATTAACCTTTTAAATTGTTAGTTTTAGGGAGATAAAGACCAGATATTATTTTCAGAGGATGCTGCAAAATAAAGGTATTTAGTTAATTTTAATCTTCTAGTCTTCTTGATTTGATGACATCTAACTGCTGCTAGAAGTACTTGATATTTGTTTTCCAAGGAGAGTGTACTGCACCATACATAATTGCTTTCAGGAGCAGTATTATTTGTGCAGATTATAATGAAGTCTGTCTTGGTAGACTTAAGGTAAAATTACACTTCAGGTTAATAAGGCTGTCTGCTCCTCTGAGTTTCTGCTCCAAGCTGTTTCTAATGTTCTATTGTTTCCACACCGAAGCACCTAAGCAGCTGCCAGTTAGGCCAGGCTCTGTACAGGTATTTGTGCATCCATGCATGTTTCCTGTGTGCCTGTTTTGTTACTAATGCTTTTTTATTTTCTATTCGGGCCTATATAGATGGAGAACCTCAGTGAACAAGAAGAGAACTTAACTGTAGTGGAGGAGCTGGAAATACAGTATTATGAAACACAGCTGGAATTATATAATGTACAGCTTGAAGTATTGAAACATGAAGAGATGCTGCTTATTGTACAGTTGGACACTTTAAGGAGGCAGATTAAAGGTAGGAATAAACAAATACTTAAGCATGTGTTCAAAACACAGGAGTGATATAGCCTGCTCTGTTTTCACTGGAAAAAAAAAAAAAAAGGATGATCATCACTACTCAAATCTCTAGCAGAAAGCATCATTGGAAAACATGGGTGCTGTGGCACCATCTGAGGTTTTGTCTTCTGACTAATTAGGCACTAATTTGATAACACGAGTTTAAAAAAAGCCACAGTGGTAGCTCATCTTGACAGCAGCTGTGGTAAGTGCATGCACTGATTTAGCATGTGGAGTAACTTATATTGAAAATACTTAACTGCTCTTGTAGTCACGAGATCTAAGCATAGAAACTGGATATCATGACCTGCTGAAAGAGGTCCTGAAATTCTTCACAAATCTGTTGTAATTTTAACAGGTAGAAATTACAAAATACATCCTGTAGTGACAAAAAGAGGTGACTATAGCTAGAGGGTACTTGAGTACTGCTGTATTCCTGTTTAAGTGTCTCTTTGTAACATACTTATGACCAAATTAGGCACCAGTCTTGTTTATGCTTACGAATTCTTTATTACTGTGTATACTGTGAAGTAAACATTGCTCCTGCTTGTTGCATGATTAAAACCTGGTAAATAGTAAATTAAGTCACCTAGTGTTGATCAGAACAGTCTTCAATTTTCCAGGAGAACTCCAGTTGGTGAAGGTAGGAGTTAAAACACAGAGACACATTTGAAAGAGGAAGCTAAATAACAACAAATGCTAACAGCATAAATTTGATCCTGCAAAGCGCCCCTGTGAGTAACATGACACGTTTGCATAAGACTTTGAAGGACCAAGCTCAGCTCTGGAGCATTACACTAATAACTAACTTACTGCCTTCAATGGCTTTTAAAATGTCATTAGTTCTTTAAATGTTTAAATAACTGTGGCAATTTTTGGGTTTTTAAAAAAATGCCAAATGCCTTTTTAGAGAAACAGGATGAAGTTGTTTACTATGATACATGTGAAAATCCTGAGGAGCTCGAGGTCTTTGAACAGACAATGGGACAACATTACGCTAACTTGTCAGAAATGACGATGCTGAGGCAGAAGACTAAGCAGTTGGAGACAAAGCGTGGGACTGTCTGTGCGAGGAGAGCCTACCTCAGGAACAAAAAAGTAAATGCAGTCCTGGAGATATGCATTTTCTTTAGCTGATGTCTTGACTCATGAGGGATAGACAGGAAATGACTAGGGAAGCTTGGGTGGAGCGTGCAAGATGATAGGTGACTCAGTGCCATGGCCTCCCGACAGAAAAAGAGGCAATGTGATTTTTAAGCCAGCTTTACGCTCCACTGTGTGGTGCAAGTGCCTCTCTAGCTTACTGAGAGAGCACAAACTTACATGGGTGACCCAGGAGGCATTCCCCTGTCAGCTAAACCTTACCAGAGCCCTGCTGTGGCCAGCTGGAGCTTTGCCCTGGCAGCCTTTTACAAAGCAGCCGCAGTACAGGAGGAAACCTGGCCTGCAGTGACAGAACAGCCCACACAGTGATACTTTACCTGTGAATGGGAGGGAGGGGACTGCTGCAATATTCTCTCCAGCCTCTCAGCTCTGCGCAAAGGGCAGTTTTTTCCTTTTGTTTCCCATTCAGAGCAGAACCCTAGGAAGACACAAGTGAGATCACAGTTGACTCTTATGAACCTTCCCAGTGAGCTGAGCTTCCTTTACACCTGCACAGTCCTGCTGGGGCAGTGAGCAGAGTTCAAGCTCCAGTCTCTCTGGCCTTTTACCCCTCATTAGCCTGGACAAAATGGGAATGACGTTGGAAATGTTTTGTGAGCCATCATTGTCTCTTGCTTGCAACTGCTTCCTCGGCAGACACTTCGTTTGCTTCTGTCTTCGTTCACTTAATTGCTGTCTATTGGTTATGTAACACTAAAGCCAAATGCCAGATGATTTGCAAATGCTTACGCAGCCATGTTCCCCCCCCCCCATACAGTGACAAATAGCGACTCCCAGAGAAAATATGGAAGCCTGCAGCTTCTCTGTGGCACTTTGTTGCTAACAGAAGGTTCCCCTGTTAGGCATTCATTGTGCTTCCCAAATCTTTGCTTCCCTGGCTTTTGTGCTTGGGAGCTATGGAAAATAAGGGACAGGGGGAACGTAGCCTTGTAATGCCCTGCTAGCTTTCCTCTTGCCTTCTTCCTCATGTCTTTGCACTGCTTCCCTCCAGCTGATATCTGGGTGAAATGTCTTCAGAGCTTGTTTCTGCCCTTTTTTTTTTTCTTTCTCTCTCTTTTTTTAATCTAAGCGTAAGACAGAGGGATCGGTTCAGATCTGGGTATATTTCCTTTGCAGCATGAATAACCCTATCACTAATTAGGAGAACAAAAGATCCCATTTACTTTAGCCATGAAGGAGTCCCACAGACTTCACCTTCAGGGTCTTTCATCTGCCACTAGTTGAACTTAGCCATCCTCCTCGGCACAGCCAAGCACTCAGACTTGGTCGCTGTTTAGTGGCTTGTGCACAGGAGTTAGTGGCACAGGTGGTGCGCAGTAAATGTGAGCTAACCAAGGGCTGCATGAATTTTGCTGTTCTACCAGGATCAATGTGAAGCAAGCCATCGGCAGAGACTGCAACAGGCAGAAGAGAGCAAAAAACGCTTCCAGCAGCATCACAGCATACAGATAGTGAGTACTGAATAGCAGCCTTGGAGAATCTGGCAGCTGCTTGTTTTCACACACTGAGGCTCACCTACTTGTCTTTTAATGCAGAAGAGAGACAAGCAAAAAGAGGAGGAGAAAAAGAAAAAATCTTGGATAAGCCAGGAACGTCATAAAACACTGGAGAGGCTGAAAACGTTCAAAGAGGCAAGTACTGTGAACTACAGCAGTCCTAAATGGTGTCAAAATGCAATGTCATAAAGTAGCTATTGCTCATGGTGGGCACGGTCCAAATCAGAGACAGCCATTTGGATAGCCTGAAGGATTGTGCGTAATCAGTCAAGGAGAGATTAAGTCCACTAGATACAGTTTACAGGTGCAGAACCTGTTGCAAACAATACAAGTGAGGAAATGGCTTTGAAAGAAATACCTTGATATTTGTGTTTTCTGTTCAGGGTTGAGTTTTCTTCTTGAATGGTGAGTGGGACAGGTCTGTACTCCATGGCTTTTTGTCTCTTTGGGGTTGATGTTTTGGCCAGTCCAATGGAGATGTGACCCTCCTGCCTTCCAATTTGTTTTTCAGAAGTGTCCAGCTCATGTTGTTCTGAAAACATCTCGTCCCCAGCCTCTCAGTCCCAAGCTGCCACGAAGCATCACTCGGCAGGCTGCAGTCCTGTCCCCTCTGCCTTTGCCGAGGGCAAGGGCAGCTCCAGAGCAGCCGAAGAGCATACTGCTAGTAGAAGCCGAGGAATCAAAAGCTTCACATCAGAATACCCCAGCAGATATCCTTGTCCAGATTTGTGTTACTGATGGTGACAGAGAGCAGCAAAAGCACAATGAGGGATTGATGATCTCTCCGTCCTCACCGCCACAACCACCACCTCCGCCGCCTCCTCCTTTACCCCCTCCTCCCCCACCTCCCCCCTTACCTCTGAAGTTAAAGGCACCATCAGCAACAGAGGACAAGCCACTTCCCCTTAGCTCTGATAGCCCCACAGAAAGCTCTGCACTGCACAAACAGAGTGACTCATCCAGGAGGTCTATAAATAATTACGTAGGTAAGAAGACTCACATCAACTGGTGTTTTTTTCTTAGTTTCCTGTATTTTTCTGTTCTTCCTCCCTCTGGTTCTGGACAGGAATAGTATGCAGTCTTGCTCAAGAGAATGAAGCTCTTGGAAAGCTTAGTCTAAGAAACCACGTGCAATAACACTGACCATATCTCAGGATGTTACATGAGTAACAATGATTTGTGCATCCTGTTTGGTGCACTTCACAGGGTCCTGGTGCTGAGAGTGTGGGACTCGGCGTTTTTGGGGAAGTGCTGTCAAATGGGACAGGTTAGTCTTTCAGGACATTTGAACTTGAACATTTGAATCTCTGCTGGAATCCATCATTTATTAAGTACAACCTTACAAGTTAGTTTAAACCATGCTTAATCACAGCACTACTAGGTCTATGGAGATCTTAATTCAGGACCTGCATTTCTCATGACATTGAAAATCCCACTGGATTGTGTCTGTCTCTCCTACCAGTATCACCTTGTTACCATGTGTAGTGGTGGAAAGTGTCAGAGGGAATTCCAAGGAGAGGAGGTTTATTCATGTTGTATGGTGAGATGCAACTTTTGTTACCAGCTTTGTTCTTGCCACGATTTTGCAACTTCTGAACCAAATATGGTATTTTCATTGAGGATTAGTCACCTGTCCAGTCGGAAGACCACTGCAGGTAAATTTGTGGTGGTACTAAGGCTACGCTTCAGTGTTTGTGATTTGTGTACTACAGCGCTAGCAGTTGGGCTGCTGCATTTCTAAGGTGTGCGCAGCCTGTGTCCACTTAGTTTGCTTGGTTTCTGAATAAAGGTTTCTTAAGAGAATTCATGCAGAATTCAAGCAGGATTTGAAAGGCAGATGGATAGCTTTGGCATACTAACATTCCTAGGGCAAAAATTCTGCTCTGTTACACCTCCACTTTATTAGCAAGATCATGGAGGTGTAATTGAAGGCTGAACTCAGCAATTGAAACAGTAGTTTGAATGAGAATAGAGCTCAGCAGCCTCCCAAGGCTGCACTGGTTACATCCTGCTAACAGGCTTATTTTTACCTCTAAAGCAAGCAGATATTTTGACTATGTCAGGGAGATGATCTAAGTTGGAAGGCAGCAATTTTTTATTGTGATTTTTCACAGCGGAGTTTATGCTAGAATGAAGCATGTCTTTAAATGTGGTACGTTCCTTTTCCTTCTCAGACTGTTCACACATCTAAGCAGCCTTTGTGTCCTCTCAGTTAAGAGGCAAACCACAGGCAGAAATACCAAGGAAAGTTCAGCATTCTCAGTTCTTCCAAGGCGTGGGGAGGTACAAGCAGCTGAGGGACTGAGATGCAGTCGAGTTACCATGACAAACCACTGTGCATCCAGTGGATCAGTGTGCGGACTTCAGTCTGGGAAGTCTGTGGGATAACTCTACCAACAGATACTCTGAAGAAGCTTTGATTAGCAGCAGGAGTTGTACACCAGAGTAGTCTGATCGCTACTGGAACAGCCTTGCTGGTAGCTAATATTTACTACCATTTGCAGCCTAACATTGATGTCCTTTTGTTATTTTTGGATAAGAAAATCCTTTTTTGTTTGTTGGAGAGATCCAATTGGTTGTTTATACCTTTTTCATGAAGAAAAGCAGTATGTTAATTGCTGTAATAGTAATTGATAAAATACTGCCACAGGAACTTACTGAAACAGCTTCATGAACAGGTTGGTTTTAGTTACACGTGCACTACTCATGTCTTTGTACATGAAAAGCCAGGAGAGGTTCATATTCTGGTGTTGAAAGTACTGTCTGTAATGTGTTAACATACTTTCCAAGGGGAACTTCTTTTATAACTTGTTAGTCTGACCAGTTTTTTACCAGGCAGCCCATTTGATTAATAGACTTAAGGCTTTCTTACTTGAAGGCGTTGTAAGACAACTTGGTGGATCTTTGCTTGATCCTTTTCTGGCATCTCACATCTCTGAAGGTACCACAGGGTTTAGCAGAATTACATTTCAGGGGCTTGATGTTAACCACATAACCTTCTGTGCACTGAACGTGGCAAAAATACCTCTAGCTGTGGACCTATAGATGTAGGAGTCCAGTGCTGTCCAGGGAGACTGCCTCCCTGTCCCACAGCCTGAACCTAGTAACAAAGAGCCCAGCAGAAGGAGTAAAATGCAAGTTATGGTGTGTATCGAGACCTAGTGGAAACTCTCTCAGTATGGTGTCCTTTATGGTCTGAAGTTCAGAAACTTACACCTGAGATTTAAATCATGTTGTAAAATGGGAATTATTTTTAAGTCCATACAGAAAAGAGCTGCTTGCCTGCCTGCTTAGGGCCTGATCTGACTCCCACTGACTTCAGTGGTGCAGTTTCAAGCCCTTCTACTCAAACCCTTTCATTTTTCTCTTGGCTGAGCAAAAATGCAATTGACAGTCTCAGCAGGCATCTGAGCAAGCTAGGAGGATTGGTAGATTGTTTCTAATACAGAATACAAGAGATTTTTTGGCTCAGTGAAATTTTTTTGGAAAGCTCATAAAGTTGTAATGAAAAAGAAACATCCTCCTTTGTGTGTAATTTGTTCCTTACAGCACAACCTTGTATAGTGTGGAAGAGATGTTGGATTCTCAATTGAAGATATAAAAGCTTTAACCGCTTTTTAAAAGCAGTTTGAGAGCCTGGTGTTGCAGAAGCTCGAGTGAGTCTGTGCCAGAACAGACCATTCTTTTTCCTGTCTCTAGCAAAGGTGAAAGGAGGAGCCCTGAACACTTGGGTAGGATTTTATACCTCTAAGTGTGGTTGTCTTGTTCTTTCTTCTGGTAACAATAGATTTATCCTTTGCAGGTTCCATGGATGAGGTTTTGGCTTCTCTAAAACGCAGTGAAGTTTGTCTTCGCAAAGTGGAACCGCCAAATCCGTATGCCTCTGTAAGAGACAACCTCCTCTCTGCCATAAGGCAAGGAGTTAAACTAAGAAAAGTGAATCGAGATACTGAGAAGGATGTCAGTAAAGGATCCACTAATGAGCTAGAGAGAAGCATTAAGGCAGTCATCCAGAGAATTAAGAAAGTGTCTGCTGATTCTGAGGAAGAGGAGAACAATGATCAGAATAATGGAGAATGGGACAGCTAACCAATTCAGAGTAAAAGACTTAGTGACTGGAACAGAGTGTGTGTCTCATTTTGCACCTTGTAGAAAACTGTCCCTTTCAAAATGAAAGAACAGTGTAATTGTGTGTGTTCTCATAGCCCAAAATGTCTTGAAGTAAAAGAATCCTGTTGATTTTCTGTAGGAGCTGCAGATTCTTATTTTTGCATGAGAAATCATACTCCAAATTATGCTTGCATTGATAGGTGTTTCTGTCTCAACTGTAAACTTTTCACCACATCTGAAGACAGCTAAAATGCTGGATTGAAACACAGATTATTTGAGTTGTTACTAAACAGTAGGGAATGCTAGCACAACAAAGTTTAAGGAGTGAAAACTAACTGAAAATGTATTTTGTCAGATAAAAGTAGAACCAAATATGTGGTGACAGAGGCAGACCAGAAAACTTAGCATAATCTGGAACCTCTCATTCCTACCTCCGTTGTCCCAAAAATTCTTTAACATTTTGCTTGTCTAATACAGCTCACTCTCAAATAACTACATGGGTACTCCATTTATCATGATGAAGTGTGCACTTATGAATGGGCTTGATAATGTTGATTGGGAAAATCAGTATCAAGTTTGAAATAAGCACTACTGTAGTAATTACTGAAAAGTTTACTTTTTAGCTGGAATCTTAAATACAGAGACTTTCTAGATGCTAAATGTTTTTCATACATCTGCATCTACAATGAACTGTTGGCATGAAAGAAAGAGCCAAAGTATTGTATATAGTATTTTCTGGGATCTAGCCCTGTAATACAGAGCTGCATTTTTCCACTGAGAACATGAATACATGTTTATAGCTACTCTCATGAATTTAAATTACATGATAACCTTATAAATGGCAGATATTTGCATTGTGCCTGGAACCTGACCGTTTAAAAATTCAGCTACGTTCGGTTCAGAGACTGTTTCTATTTTGGGTAGATAGTGACAAAAATGATTCAGAGTTTCTTTTGGAGTTTATACTGACCCTTAATAAAAATATATCCTGACAGAAGAGGTGGATTCAGTGTGCTGTCATTTTAGGATACTGCCATGAAGGAAGCATTACTTGCACTGTGGTACTCTGGTTTTTGATAGCAAGTGACAGCCATACAGCAACTGTGCTCTCTCACTGATGGTATATGTAAATGCCCTTATTTTCTCAAAATATTTATGAAGTGTAATTTGGTAACAAAATTGCAAATATGGTGCTTTAATTCCCTGTTTTACTGTAGAGTAGCAGGTCTGTTTAATCAGCACAGTAAATATGCAACAGTTTTCATGTGAGAAGCAGAAGCAGCAGCTGGGGGTTCATTTTTTTACTGTTTCTGCACATACTGCTGTTTGGAAGTCAGAAAAAAATGACTTTTTTTGGTCCATTGCTGTCCAACCAAAGGGAGTAAAAAAGCAGCAGCAGCACGGGTCAGTTCTTACTCAACACTTCTGATGCGATGTCTGCAGAGGGGAGCTGGTGGGCACCGTGCTGCAGTGCGCCCACACCACCCTGCCTGTCCCCAAGCTCGACCTGGGTGCAAGGGCCAGGCTGGGGGCAGCAGGGGTGAATTTGTTGCACACTTGGACTTCAGCATCCTAAATGCAGAATGCTTGCCAGCAAAACCTGCTCCTTCGAGAGTGGAGATCTCTTCCCCAAGGATACCCTGGGCAGAGGAGGTGCTTGGCCAGTGGTGGGGAGTGGTGTGGGGAGGGTGAAGGGGCTGGGGCTGAGAGTTGCCCTCTCGTGGGCCGTGCCCTTTAGTGGTGCGGTTATTTAAAGCTGAGCAAAAGGGCACAGAAGCTCAGCTGCCTTCCCGTGGTTGGTCTCTCCTGTCAAATGGCAGCTTAGAGTCCAGGGCAGAGCCCTTTGCCTTTTTATCACTGTGATTGAATTCTCAGCTACAGTGCTAGGAAGTTAATTGCAGCAGTTTAAAGTATGCAGGGAATAAGAGTTGCAATTTCTCCAACAAATCTTAACACCTTTTGTGTGTTTAACAGCAGTAATTTTACTCAGGAGAGGCTGCCTGAGTAACAGCGACACTGGACAGTGATTTCTCCTACCTAGAGTTTTCTTCTGCAACTGTGCAGGAAGCTCAGCTGGGGGCTGATCTCGGGTGTTCAACAGGGCTCTCAGGCTGAAAAACGTCCTTAAAAGCCCACTCAGAAACTGTCTGAACCCACCTGTTTTCTGAGGCCTGCTTCAGTTGCTGAATGGCCAACAGGCTGCCTCTGTGGAAAATGTGCTGCAGCAATTTTCTGGTTGGCATGGAAGATTTTGCCTCTATCAAATATCCTCACTGCCTGGTTCACTATCAAAGTTTAAAGGGTAGTGCTCAGCAGAGATTTGCCCTGATGGGAATAGGGCTCCCAGGGTGCAGAACAGCCCTTGCAAGCCGGAGCGGCAGGGTCCCTTCTGTGCCCGCAGGCGCAGCTCCTGGCAAGAGGCAGCCGCTGGAGCACCAAAGTTCCCAGATGTCAGAAACATGACCGGGGGAAACACCAAAAGCACCAGCCTTAGCCTAAAGAAAAGAAGGCAAGAGAGCAGTTTTCAAATACATAAGAGGCTGCTGCAAAAAAGGAGGGGAGTATTTTGTTCTGTGTGTTCACAGGGAGATAAGGGGCTTAAATTATAGCTGGAAGGATTTAGGGTAACCGTAGGAAAAGCTTTCTAACAAAGAGTGAAAGGAGAGAGATGCGTGGACAGATTGCCTGGGAAGGTGGTGGGGTTTCTGTCACTGGCAATCTTTAAAAGCAGGTTAGACAAACACACCCCGAGGTGCTGCTGGTATTGCTGACGCGCTGCGGCAGGGGCAGGTTTGCAGCCTGTGGCCAGCCGATGCATGCGAGCTCGTCATTGTACTGCCTTGAGGCTCAGTTTGCTCCACAGGGGAAGCCACAGCTCATTTTCTGAGAGATGCCCAAATGTAAGAAGACTGAAAAGAAAACCTTACTGAATCACCCTCAGATTTTTCTTCTTCTCTGTGGCTATGACCTGTCCTGTGCTGCCAGCAGTGGGCTGCAGAGGGAATGGTGGGTAGGAAATGGCCCTGGTGCCCCAAGGCTGATTTACCCCAGGCTGACGGGGCATGCAAGAGAAACCACCTGCAAGTGTCAAGAGGACAGAGTCCTTAATCTGGATTTGAGCTCAGGCTTCAGCAGGCGCCTTCCCACTTCAGCATGCTCCGGCAGGTTTGGTGCAGCTGCTGGTGCTACACGCATGCAAGGGCTGATGGACAAAATGGGAGAACCTGGAGTGGCAGGTTGGCTCCATGATGTTCAGCTCTACTTGAGTAGGTTAATATTAATGTGCCAAACTGCTGTGACAGCTTTTTGATGTTTAATATCCTTCTTAAATATCTCACCCTGGGTTAGTAAATGAGTCCCTTGGTGGGAATAGTCTGCCCTGACTGACCAGCCACAGAAATTGATTTGTTTAAACTGAGAAAATACGGTTGTCTGGCTTTAAAGAGTTAATGATACACAGACGTGCTGGAAACCCCGGTAATGAGGTAAAGCGATCATTTTCTATAAATCAGTATTGCTGTAGCTTGTGATCTCTCTTAACTATGATGTGGGCAGTCCAGACAGCAGCTGCCAGTATTTTTAGGGAGGTTTAAAGTTAATGTATTCAAAGACTACTTGGTCTGACTAAAAGAATTTCCCTTTGAAATCCCAGCGCTTTGATCACAGCAAGAGAGGAGTCGCGGCAGCGTTACCCGGTGGGGAGCACCGTGGCCATAGCTGGTAATGCCAGTGCAGCTCTGGATTTATCAGCTTTTCTGTTGATGTGCTGCTTTTCAGGATTTATGAAGCTCCTCCATAACTAACCCCCCATTTCAGCACACAGGGCTGACTCACAAGCTGGGTACTGACATTTTTCCCCCCTGCAAAATGGTATTGAATCAAGCAAATCAAGTCTGAGTGTGAACACCCTGAGCAAGTATGTCACTTCACTCGTGCACATTCAAAGAGCCTTTTTGAATTAATTTAATACTGTTTGGAAATTGATGCTGATTTATATAATGTGCTTGCACAAAGACATCCTGTCCTCCTCTATGGGCTTCTCAGCAACAGACAACAACTCACCCATGAGCAGGTCATGGAGTTACTGCTGTTTCCACGAAGGACAAGGAATGTGCCCAGAGCTGGGAGATACCTGGTCCTCACCACCAGCACATGGGGACTGCAGGCATTTCCATATACAGAGAGCTAGAAACGTGCCATAAAAGTACTTCACCTAACATCAAATTGTGTTAAAAAACCTCCAAAACCTATCTCCATTCAAACCACATGCTCCTCCTTCTCCCTGGCTGTTTTGTAAGATGCATGGTTGGAAGAGGCTGGTGTGCTGTACGAGCAGCCTGCTCACCTGTGCGAGCCACACCATGCCTGAATGCTGAGGCATTTGTCTTTGCCTCCCTGTTAAAACCAATACCAAAACCGCACTAAATTTCTGTTTCTACCAAAAGCAAAGGTTTAACATGGTCTTTACAGGGCCTTTCCTGCTCTCCTCCCTGCCACAGAGGAACTAGCCAAGGGGTATCTTGCCCACGGTGAGGTGGGAGTGCTGCCTGCTGCCCTGCCAGCCCACCTGGGCCAGGGCTGAAATCCCAGTGGTTCCACCACCTCTGTGCAGCCCCCACCAGCCTCCTGCTGCCCCTCATGTCTGAAAGGCCACAGAAACCCTGTGGGACTACGGGGACTCTTGAACGTGCCTGGGCTTGAAGCGGTGCCCAGGCAGGTTAGCAGGCCAGCACCCACGACCCTCCTTTCGATCACTTCCCTTCTTTTATCCCTTGAAATCAAAAAGATGCACATGTACGCCAGGACACCAGGAGCAAGAGGGACAAAGAGGCTCAGTATGAAGGCATTCATCAGGACTGAGAAGTGCTTCTTTTTTCAGTCCTTCTCCACAAAGAAGAGGTGGGTAGATAAGCGTGTGCACCCTTTGGAGAAAATGAGATTTAAGTTACGCATGCCCTCACTTGAAAAGCATGGTTTTAATTCCAAAACTTCCTGTTTGCATCTGAGAGCACATCTGCACATTACACCCCATAATAATGTGATACTGGTAGGAAAGAGG